CGTATCGCCTCTTTTCTTGAGGAATTGCAAGTCTTTCATTTGAATTCGCACGGCTTCTTTGGGCAAAGGCTTAGCCTCTGGAATTGAGATTACATCTGTTCCATCTGCAACTCGCTTTGCTTTCTCTTTTACAATGGAATCGATCACCGGCCTTCCAACAGTGGGAAAAACGGCGTAAAGTATGACGGATAACAATTCTTCATCTTCTTTTTCGATAAGATCCCTCCCAAAACAGCAAACATATATAGCTTCTAAAGCCTTTTCAGCTCGAACTTCCATTGGAATAGTTGGGGCCAGAGCTTTAAGTTTTGCACGTCTCTACAAGAGAATGCCACCAACAAACACAATTTAACGACACTCCCATTCTAATACAAAAAGATTTGGCTCCAGTATAGAAAAGGAAAAACAAAACACAAAAAGAAAAAAGAATCAACTTTGAGATATACAAATATCCTACAAACTGAGCATACAATCCTCGAGGCATATATTGGTGTACCAATTCATCCTCATGGATGCAATTTAAAAGAGACACAAACATAAGAGACCATTGTAATCAACTAACCTCTTTAGAGTTACTCATCATAGCAATAAAGTTTTCCTCCTCAAACTCAATATCATTTGAAACTCGAAGCCTGGCAACTCCTTCCAAGATCTCCTCGGATTTGAGCAATCCAGCTCCAACTGCAGCTACCCAACAACACAAAAGTACGTACAAAGGGTCCCCAGCCTGTTCACAAGCAAACGGATCACACCCTTTATTCGGACCATTTTAAATTTGTGACACCCAAACTCAGACTTCTACAATTTAGGTGATCTATTTTCACAGTGCAAAACAAGACAATGGGATTGGTCCTAATCAATCATTTTGCATAGAAACAAAAATCAAACATTAAACGTGAAGCAATTAAGTCATAATGCTAGGTTCGAATGTTTCAATCAAACTGGAAGCAGAAATATCGAGATATAAAGCACGACTGAACAAATTAAGCAAAATCAGAACCAGCTGAAAAAAGGAACGAATTGCAGATAACACGAGAACTCAACTCACATGTGAAAAACTGAATGCAGAAAACACAAACATTGTCTGAGATGATGACATTACAAATTTGTGAACGGAAATATGACCTTGCCCCGTCGATCTTGAAACTCGAACAAAGCCCTGGAATCATTAACGGAGCATTTATTCCCCACCCGCCTCCTGAACTCGGCGAAATCCACAATATCTCCGCCCACACCTCCTTCGTCGCTGAAAATCCGGGCCACCAGCCCAATCACGGGTAACGACCCGATTAGTTTATTTACGAAGCCGGATATGGTGTTGGATTCCTCCATGTAAGCTCGGACGAGGGGGTATTTCCTGACGACGCCAACGCCATTAGGAGGATATCGCCGCCAGCTCCGGGGAGTTATGTGGAGCTGACGGCGCGGCTGGAGTAAATATGGCGGCCACGGCTTGGAAGCGATGGTGTTGGGGTTTGGTTGGAGGGAGGAGATTGCCGCCATTACTGGGGCTTGATGGAGCTCGATTTTGGGCGGTTGAATTCTAACCTCTCGTTTGGAAGGGTGGGTGCGTGGTCATGGTCAAGGAAGAATCAAGATATTTCCTTTCTTCTCTTTTATCTTATTTTTTCTTATTAAATAACATTTTGGCTCGTTCCTATAACAATAATAAAAAAACATATCCATCAAATAATTATATTAAGAGAATGATGATCAAGTCAACTTTTAAATATATCAGTCAAATATGTAATGATAATTTCGTAAATAAGTATATATGTTGTGGTTAAATGTACAATGTTGAACATTCGTTAGGGACATTTATGTCATCTTAAATAATTCCTACCAACAACCGTGTAACGCCCCAAGTTTTATTAATAAAGGAAAATACTAGCTTTTAAATATAAGCTAGCCTTTGTTAATAAATAATCATGTTCATGTTCTAGTTCAAGTGATTCAGCCAGCTATATTCCAAGTTCGACTATTAGTCGATGTGTTATTCGAGTTAATAACTGAATAAGTTTTCAGATTTAATTCCGATTCATTTAATTAGTTAATGAGTTCAGAATTAATAGGCCAAGTTGACGAATTATTCGAAATATTAATGTTCGGATTAATCGTCTAAGTCAAGAATATTCGAATTAAGTTTCGAGGTCAAGTTATAGCCGAAAATGAGTACGTTCGATTAAGGTTACCATATATGAACGTCGTCATTCCTACACAGCGACGCGTTCACATTTGGTACACCGTCCATCATTAGCTTATGCTTAAGCAATTGTCATTAAGCTTTGCTTAATTAACTTAATCCATGTTTAGCTAATTAATCATGATTAGCTTAAAGATAATCATGATTAGCGTAATGTCAATAATGATTAATTAACATTAATGATGATTAGTTTAAGGTTAATCATGTTTAAAAGTAATCATGTTTAGCTTAGCATTGAGTATGCTTTGTACGGCTATTAGTACGCATAAGTACGTCCTTAGCACGTCTAAGTCGCGCTTAACCGAACTAATCGCCGAGAGCTTAAGATTTCCCAATCTTCACGTGCATTGTAATCAATTATTGTACACATGGATTCATGAGAGGGGTCTTGGATGTGACTAAGCAACGAGTTGGATGACTAAGCCCCAAATGCCACTCTTAGACCCTTAGCACTCGGCACATGGCGTACGGCCATTAGCCGAGCTTTTCATCCCAATCTCACCCACGTTTATCATCTATATAACCAGAATTTGGGGTGGAGCTAGGGCTGATTACTTAGGATATATGTTAAGCAAATGTTAAGCAAAGTTAAGATATGTTAAACATACACGCACGCACGCAAGCACGGGAAGGAGGATCATGCCCGTTCTTGGGAAATTCTCCGAACACTTGAAGAGGTAACCTCATATTCAGCCTCCTTTCATGTTAGTAATATCATGTTAAATTCAGTTTAATGAGTTCATGCCAAGAAATGCAAGAAAACTTCATAAGGGGCACGGTTTTGGCCAAGAAGGTCATGACCGAGTGATGTTCAATTTTATCCGGCATTTCCCGTGCAGTTTATGTTTATTTTATCATGTTATGTCCTTATAAGTTCAGTTTAGAAAGATAGGTCGAGACAAGTTGTAGTATTGTCCATGTTCTGGCCTAAGGAAGTCGGCAACACACATAGTGCATGCCCACGAGCCGTGGTGTGCCCTCTCCGAATGATTTTGATGTTTAACCGGCAAGTCCCGAGAAAGTTATGTATGGTTGTCATTTTAAGTCAATTTATGTTCAGTCATACGTGAGTTGCCGGAGAAAGTAGCCGGA